GATTAATCTCTCAATTATTTGTTTAAAAATTATTTAAATAAGTTGTATTAAGATTAGATGCTATAAATTTCGGTTAGTATTTCTTACAATATCCATAGTTTTAACTTTTATTAGGTTGTTCTAGTTCGTAACTTAAAAAAATTAATTTCAAGAGAAATCTAAATATAAATGGTGAAACCATAAAAAATATTAATTGTAGAAAGAGAAAACAATTAATTAATTAAATAAAAAACTTTAATAAATAATTAAAAATATATGAATTTTAGTTTAGTTACATTAACAATAACAAGAGTGAGTTTAGTTAATCATATACATATGAAATAATAAAAATGATAAAGAAACCAAAACGATGGATGTGACATGTAAGTGTTATGTGATATATTTTTTTTTAAATACCTCTTTTGGTCCCTTACATTGTTTTTTTGTTTCAATTTAGTCTCACTTTAATTTTTAGTCTCAATTTGGTCCTCAATAACTTAAATTAGTGCAATTTGGGACTTCCGTCCAAATAATTTAGACGGAGTTAATTGTTGGCCACGTGACATCTACGTGGATGCCACGTGGATGCGCACGTGGACGCCAAAACTCTGGAAAAAGAACTTGAAACCAGAACGACCTGTTCTGAAATCAAAACGGGCTGTTATGAAACCAGAACGGTCCGTCCGTTCTTAAACTAGAACGGGTCGTTCTGATTTTAGAACAGGTCGTGCTGCTTTTAGAACGGGCCGTTTTGCTTTTAGAATGGGCCGTTCTGAATTCAGAACGGCCCGTTCCAGAACGCCATGCTTTTTATTATATTTTTTTGTTATATCTATATTAATAAATATATAATAAATAAAAAATACAATAAATTAATATTCATTTATGAATAAAACTAAAAAAAAATCAAATAAGATAAGACCTTCCAAAATATTTCTTTGATTTGAATTTATTCAGTTCAAAATCTTGACTAAAATGCCACAATGTATTTCAAAAATTGAAAATAAAATTCAGGGTTTAGGGGTACCTCCTCAAGAACAGGTTGTTATTGTTGGAGTACATCGTCAATGACTTCAAGGAAAAATAATGTTTCATTTTATCCTTGACTGTATAGTGTCAATTTGGTAGTAAGTGGTTCATTCTAGTTTGACGAACAATGAAGTAAGGCTTGTTGCCATGGTCCTGAGTGATGCACTGCATCATCCTTAATGATATACTGTATAGTCCAAATGTTTAGCAATTGAAGTTATTAATCCTCATTAACAGTATTACCAAATCTAGTGTTTGAAATGCTTTGTATTTTTGTTTTTTTGTGCACGAAATTCTGGACCAGAACGGGCTGTTGGTGTGTTAATTTTGGACTTGGAACGGCCCGTTCAAGGTGCAAATTTTACACACCAATAGTGTAACCAGAACGGCCCGTTCTGGTTTCAGAACGGGTCGTTCTGGTTCCAGGTGTATTCAAGTATTTTTGGATCCACCTACGTGGCATCTACGTGGCATCTACGTGGCATCCACCTGGCATCCACGTGGCCACCAGTTAACTCCGTTTAAATCATTTAGACGAAAGTCCTAAATTGGAACGATTTTTAAATTATTGGAGACCAAATTGAGACCTAAAATTAAAGTGGGACTAAATTGAAACAAAAAAATATTGTAAGGGACCAAAAGAGGTATTTAACTTTTTTTTTAAAAAAAAAAGAGTATGATCTTGTGTAATAACTCTTTTGTTGAACATTTATATATTTTTATCAAGAATAATTATGAGTCTCGTTAGTTTCCATTTAAGCACACCAAAGTAATGTGTTTAAGCGAGATCTTGAATGTAGATATCTAGAAGTTGTCTTGCTTAGACATGCAAGATTTGATGATGAAAATTTTCCTATTTGATACACTACTTCCTGTTTAAGTGTGACCACTTGTCTTGAGTGTAACTATTTGTTCAGAAAAAAAAAAATCGGATCTTGCTTAAACAACATTTATAAGAGATGTGTTAAAAAGTTGGCTTTTTGACCGAGATAAATTAAAAAGAAAAAATACACATTGACATTTTGAATTAAACATAATTCATCTCAACTCTTTCTTATATTTTGTAATGAATTCAAAATGTTATTTTTCTCATAAATT